GTGGGGAGGTTTTGGTCAGTAGGAAAGCGAGTTAGATATCTTTGTGACATGTGATAGTATTGTTAGGGTAAACAATTGCACAATGTTTCATTTATTATTTGACTCACCAAACTTTTGGCCCATATAAATGAATTTTTTTTTGGGTAGAGGAAATTTTCACATGGCTCCTTACAGAGGCTGACCTTCTGGTACGACTAGGGCACACCTCTTTTTTTTTTAATATATGAATTAACTTATTAACTGTACTTTTACTACCAATTTTCGTATGTACATCTATTTAGATCGTAATTGTCGACTTTAAATTGCAATCGATTCACTTCTATGCTACTCCTAACGCCAATTTAGTATGATCGTTAGCATGCTAATGGGATTAGGCGTCGACATAATTGGATCTCGTTGTCGATGATCTTGATTATTGAATTTACACATTGATGATATTTATTAAGCCACAAACGTATGCATCAAATTGCTGAGATTGTTGTATTCCAAGATTTGACATTTTAAGTGCATGCTTACAATCGAGTGACGTTGGCCAGTAACATCGGATTGGAGGAAAAACACCTTTTAACTTTTAAGAGTAGATAATGAGGTGTTTGATTTTAGGTGGCCATTTCCATAATATAATTGCTTAAGACTTATGATGATCACAATTTTTTATGAAAGACTTTAATTAACTTATCAACAATGTCCAATTAAAAACAAACTATGAATACCCAGGAAAAGAAGAAACTGTGAATTGGTGGGCCGGCGGTAGGGGAGCTCCGACCATTGGCCGGTCGGACAGAAAGAGGTGGGTTGCCAAATGGCAAATGACGGGATTACACTAGTTGGTGGATTAGGCTAATTAATTGACAATTAGTTGGGTTAATTAAATAGAGAACTCCTAGGATTATTAACCACAGTTTCAGTTTAGAGATTTTAATTCTAACTGATACCTAACAGATCTCTAAGTTATAGAGGGAATCATCTCCCTCGTCTCAATCATAGGCCGCCTCTTTGAGCAACTTTCGGCGCTACCACTAAGGGGGAAAAATCCAAAACTACCACTGTTTAAAAAAAAAATTACAAAAATACCACTCGCTCCAAAGAATTTCCAAAAATACCACCCTTAATTTAAAACCGCCCCCCTGTAGAGCGGTTTTCAATGAAACCGCGCCTCTAAGAGGCGTTTTTCATTCTAACCGCTCCTCGGAGGAGCGTTTTCATTTCCTGGACTAAACCGCTTGTGCGAGGCGCGGTTATAGGGTAAACCCTACCAGAAAACGCTGGTAGGGGGAGCGGTTTATTGTCGGCATGCAAACCGCCTGGGGAAGGGGCGGTTTACATTGTCAGGACACAAACCGCTCCCCTGGGGCGCGGTTTGTGCCTGGTCACCCGACATCCGACATGTCGGCATGCAGGGGTAGGGCTGCATGGCAGACCCAAAACCGCTCCCCCCCCAAGCGGTTTTGGTGCAAAATTTGCCTATAAAAGGCTGTTTCGGAGAACACAATTCTTCACACTTCCTTCCTCAATTCACACAAAAATCCTCAAATTTCAGCTTTGCACCTTTAAATTATTTAGTTTTTGCGATTAACGTTAATTCGTAAGTTTGTTTCGTAATTACTTTTCATTGTCTTTGTGATTTTATGTTAGTAACTTAATTACGTTTGATTGTCCTTTATGATGTTATGTTAGTAACTTAATTACTTTTCATTGTCATTTGTGATTTTATGTTAGTAATTTGAATTACTTTTCATTGTCCTTTGTTTATTAGATAATGTATATTTGTTGTACAATAATTTACATAATTGTTAATCGTATTGATTATTTTCAATAGTTTAAATCAATACAATACAACACTTATTGAGACTCTTTATAAAGAAATGCATGTCTAAGGAAATGGGGACTTAAGCGATCATCATGATCCCCCCATGACCTGGGAAAATCGGGTTCTAAGCGATCCTCGGATCCCCCCTTTTTCTGTCAAAAAGACTGTGTTTCTAAGGAGATGTATACCTCTCCTAAGAGTCTTACGAGTGTACTTGTATTGCTTTAAATTATTGAAAATAATCAATACGATTAACAAAATAATTTTTATGTTAGTAACTTGTGTTACTTTTCATTGTCATTTGTGATTTTATGTTAGTAATTTGAATTACTTTTCATTTTTCTTTGTGTTGTTATGTTAGTAACTTGTGTTACTTTTCATTGCAGATGGCATTCCAAAGGTTCACGCTTGGGTTGCGGTGGAATGGTTACACGGAAGAGACCGAAAAGGGTGTAAGTTACGTCGGTGGCAATTTTCATAAAATGAAGGTCCGTACGAGACCGATGCTTGAAGAGCTCCACCGTCAGTGCACTCAGATTACCTGCATGGATGGCAGTAGAAGAGTTGATCGAATGGTGTATCGATATCCAAACAGACATCACGGGTCCCTGTGGCATGAGGAATTCCTCCTTAACACTCAGGAGGACGTTGATGCCATGGTCCAATTTTTGACCACCAATACAATTAAGCAAGCGGAGATGTTCGTTTACAAGTTACTAACATAAAAATTATCTAATAAACATTAATAGAATATATACAAGTTACTAACATAAAAATTATTTTGTTAATCGTATTGATTATTTTCAATAATTTAAAGCAATACAAGTACACTCGTAAGACTCTTAGGAGAGGTATACATCTCCTTAGAAACACAGTCTTTTTGACAGAAAAAGGGGGGATCCGAGGATCGCTTAGAACCCGATTTTCCCAGGTCATGGGGGGATCATGATGATCGCTTAAGTCCCCATTTCCTTAGACATGCATTTCTTTATAAAGAGTCTCAATAAGTGTTGTATTGTATTGATTTAAACTATTGAAAATAATCAATACGATTAACAATTATGTAAATTATTGTACAACAAATAAATTACTTTAACAAAATACAAATTACAAGTGATGATAAATAATATGTACCTTATGGTCGTTCCAAACGTCTCTTGAACGATGATTTGCTTGATCGTATAAAACTGTCGGATCGATCGGTCCTTGATCAACGTAATATCGTTGATTGAAAATATCAACATCCGGCCCAACCTACGATAGCATAACAATAACATAAATCATTAGTATATAAATTAAATAAGTCATTATAACAACAACAACAATTGGGAAAAATGAGTTCGTACCGTTTGATAATCATCATAAAAAAGACCCTCTTCTTGAGCGAAATCGGCCATTCTCTCGGAATCCGGACAGAGGTTCGACGGTTTTTTAGTGAAAACCAAAGAAAAGTTTTTTGGAGGCAGATCGGACTTAGGCCGCAACCAACAAAAAAACTAATTCTAAGGTTGTGTGGGGAGGGGTTGGGTGGAGAGAAATTAGAGGGAGAGAGGGGAGTGTGGTGGATGGTGTGCAGAAATGAGGGGGTGGGGGGGGTTTATATAGCTTTCAAACCGCCTGGGGGAGGGTCGGTTTGGTAAATTCCCGCAACCAAAAACCGCGCCCCCAGCACGCGGTTTCCTTTTCCCGATAGTCAAACCGCGCCTCGGGAGGGCGGTTTGCTTTTTCCAACGGTCAAACCGCGCCTCGGGGGAGCGGTTTATGTGGGGCGACGCGGATCGCTTACTTGGCAGACATTTTAGCCGTCAGATCGCTCCTCGGACGAGCGGTTTGATGCACCGCCACCTGGCAAAGCGGTTTGACAGCCATGCATGGTCAAACCGCGCCTTGGGGGCGCGTTTTTAGGTTTAACCGCCGCCTGGGGGCGCGGTTTTTATGTAAACCGCTCCTTAGAAGGGCGGTTTTAAATTAAGGGTGGTATTTTTGGAAATTTTATGGAGTGGGTGGTATTTTTGTAATTTTTTTTTAAAACAGTGGTAGTTTTGGATTTTTTCCCCACTAAGGCGGTTAAACTTAGATAAAGATTCTAATATCATTTAAATTCCATTCATACTTTAAAACGGAATAAGATAGGATCAAGAAATCGGTTCACTAGCACTGGATCCATTAGGCAACAATACATCACAATCATGCCTGAATGAGGTAGAGGTAGGTGTAAGCGTCATACTTATACCTTCTCTGTTATTCGAGTTACGATTTATCTTACGGTTGGAATATCCACGAGGAAAAATGAGTACTTGTAGTGTGATTGTATCTCATGTACCTACATTACAATATCATTGCAATCGTATGTCTTAAGATTGAGAACGTGTAATCACTTCGCTTTTTCGTTTTGTTATCAAAATAATAGCACCAAAATTATTTGACAGTTTACCGAGCCAACAATCTCGACCATACATCAAACAAATTCGAAGATCTCTAGTTCTCACCATCCAACGATATCAACACCAATTGGAATCTTCCCATTAGCTTACCTCATCATGCAGTCACACTGAATTGACTGATCATAGTGCATTCTGCACAATAGTAGTGGTGGTGGTGAGTAGTGACAGGCACACCATCTCCAGAGTAATCATGGCTCCCAACTCCAGAATCCCATGAATGAAGGTCTCCCTATTCGTTCTAATTTAATTTAATTTATTTTGTTTTTATTTTTCTTGTCCTTATCTCTCAGCTTCTCCTTCCTCCTTTATATATTCCGGATATAAAATTCCAAATATGTTCGAAAATTCAACTACAAGTTGGATCTTTTTTTCCTTTCTTTTGGGCGCCGTTCAGGAAGTTCTTTCTTCTTCACCACCCCCTTTTTGACAGGAAGAATTAGACGTTATTTCTAGGTAGGTCGCTTAGCTTTCAATCGAAGCACGATAGGGAAAAAAAGGCGAAAGAAGTTTGGTTGCATTCAGGTTTATGTTAGGTATACCGTAGAATGACGGCTCTCTCTTACACAATGATTCTTCTTCTTCCATTGTTCAGATTTAAACGCCATTGCCATTTTCAAGGTTCGGAGTAAACAGAAGAGATTGAAGACAATGGCGGCGAGAAAGATTTGAAATTGAAATGTGGGTTTTGTTTCTCTTTACCGTTGCTGCGGTGGGTCTGGTCTGAAAAATCCCGCCGGGAAAGTGAAATGGAGGCTGCCGCCGGCGTCGTTGTCCCCGCCGGCGGAAGTGGGAGCGCGAGCAGTAGAATTGAGAGGAACAATGCGGTTTTGAAGGACCCGTCGTGGTTCGGTCAGTTCAGAAACGGGTCGAACCCATGGATGGCTAGATATGTCTACGCACTCATTTTTCTTTCCGCCAATCTCCTCGCTTGGGCTGCTCGTGATTATGGCCATTCCGCTTTGACCGAGATGGAAAGTAAGAAGAAATTGAGTCTTTCCTTTTCTTGGGTTTTCTTGGTCTGGCTTCAGATTTTGATTTCCAATTTTGGGGATCTTGTGTTTTTTGGCAGGGCTGAAAGTCTGTGATGGGAAATCGGACTGTTTGGGAGTTGAGGGGGTTTTGAGGGTGAGCTTGGGTTGTTTCGTCTTCTTCATTCTTATGTTCCTTTTGACCTTGGGGACTTCCAAGCTGCAAGATCCGAGGGACGCGTGGCATTCTGGGTGGTGGTCGGCGAAAATTGCCATCTGGGTTGGAGTCACTCTGCTGGCCTTCCTTCTTCCTTCCACCATGGTCAGGATCTACGGTTAGTTTTCTTTCACCAACAATGGCATTCTCGAGCTTCTTTTGGTAAATGGGTTTTGCTGATCTGGTTTCCTCCTCTCTGTTCTTTTTGCAGGGGAGATTGCCCATTTCGGTGCAGGGTAATGTATCCATTGCCACATTAGACATGCATTTGTTTCTGTAATTTGATGGACCAGTGATTCAGTGTTAAACTCTTCCCGTTGCAGGGTGTTTCTACTGATTCAGCTAGTGAGTGTGATAAGCTTCATTACATGGATCAACGATCGGTGCCTATCTGAGAAAAACGCAGAAAGATGGTGAGGTTTCCATCCATCACATTGCCCTTTCATTCTCATTAGTCATTAGCAGCAACAAAACAATGTACTGTTTCTTGAACCCTTGGTGATTTTGAATGGTGGCAGCCATATCCATGTAATGGTGGTGGCGACGGGTTCTTATGTAATCAGCCTGGTGGGGATAATCATGATGTACATTTGGTACACTCCAGACCCATCTTGCCTACTCAACATATTCTTCATCACTTGGTCCCTGGTGCTTCTGCAACTCATGACCAGTGTCTCTCTTCACCCTAAAGTAAAATAATTCAAACCCCTTCCGCCTTCCTTTCCTTCCGTTGTTTTTGTGCATCCATTGCAATGATGTTCATGGTCTGCTAGAAGAAAGCAAGGTGCTGAAACGTGGTCGTTTGTTCGCGCGCAGATAAATGCCGGGTTCCTGGCACCTGGACTCATGGGGCTGTATGTTGTATTCCTTTGCTGGTGTGCCATCAGAAGGCAAGCCCAACAAACATAATTGTTCTTCAAAATTTTCATGGTTCTTGCCCAAAATTTGGTCCAAAGTTGACATATATTTTTTATGGTGATAATGTATATCCACAGTGAGCCGGCAGGGGAGATTTGTAACAGGAAGGCAGAGGCTTCCAAGAGAACAGATTGGCTCACCATCATAGTAAGTAAACCATCTTAACTGGATCAGTTTGGAGCATCAGAAAGTCGATGACTTTACCCTCTCAACTCTTCCAATTCTGCAGAGCTTTGTCATTGGACTGTTGGCGATCGTCATAGCCACATTTTCGACTGGAATCGACTCGCAGTGCTTCCAGAAGAGCGAGACGCAAGGCAGTGGGGAAAATGAAGAAGATGAAGTGCCGTACGGGTATGGATTCTTCCACTTCGTGTTCGCAACGGGAGCCATGTACTTCGCCATGCTGTTGATTGGCTGGAACACCCACCACGCCATTAAAAAGTACGCTCCTCTCCACTACCCTGTTTTTTTCCCGTGTCTCACTTTTCTGCTCTCCAACTTTCTCTTCTTTGCACTGTGGTCCTTTGATCTAATTATGGTAATCATGTTCTGTCGTTGAGTGAACTTTGGTAATGGTGGGTTTTTATTTTCTTACCAGAAAACAGTTGGTTAATGTCATCGAAAGCAATCTTCCTTTTGGCCTTAACTTTTGCTTAATAAAGCAAGTGATTAGATTAGGGAAGTGTTGTTTTCAACATTTGATGAAAGATAGTGACCAATGGGGTGGTTCTTTTCCACTGTCTGCTGTGTGCAGGTGGACGATTGATGTGGGGTGGACCAGTGCGTGGGTGAGAATAGTGAACGAATGGCTGGCCGTTTGTGTATATGGTAAGCAAAATCTCTCTTTAACTCAAGAGTACTAAGCTCCAAAAGTTACAGATATTTTCAGATGAACAAAAGAATCGAACTTTGTTCATTTTCAATCGGGTACGCATCAGAGTGGGTTGATATCGTGGTATCATGTGATTCAGCAATCTCAATCATAGAACAATACCAATGCATAAATCCAACGATTGAGTTCACAAATGACATTGTCAACCCGCTTAGATGCCCATGTGGTGGTTCAGAAGCTAAACATTTCTGTTTTGTTTTGTGGGTTGTGTTTGATTTTGTGGATTTGGCAGTATGGATGTTGGTTGCACCGATAATACTGAAGAGCAGAAGGGCAGGGGGATCACCGCCGGTTTAGGGAAAGGGACAAACAATCAGAAGACGACGGTTTTTTTGTTAGTTTTTGGGATGTGGCTTTCATTCATCCCCCACCTGGTGGAAAGAAACAAAGGAGCATAATGGAGCCAAACAGGGAAGGTGGACATCACCAACAGTTTAGGTTTACACGATGATGGTCGACAAGGTGGACAAATTGGGGGGAAATGGTGGAAATGAGATTTGACATGCATTTGTTTGTGGGAGATGGAAAATGTGGAGATGGGGGAATTGGATCCCTGTAAATAATAGTAAAAAATGAATAGAGTCGTCTCATTTTGGAAAAAGTGTGTATTCATGGATGGGGATTGATTCTGAAATCAATGGTTGGAATGAAATACATCAAAGGTTAACTTTCTTGTTTAGTTGAATTGTTCCATTGTCACAAATTTCCGGCAACTTCCCATTTCCTAGCTGATGTCATTTGAGCATCACATGGATGTCAACGAGATTGGTCTTTCATTTTCCTTGGTCTAAATTTGGAACATTTTCCATGGTTGAAAAGCCTAGGAAGAAAGGGAATGTAGGTTCCCTCTTTTGCTAGGTCAAGAAAAGAATCGGTTCCACACCTCTCTCATGGCCATTAGCCATTGTAGAGTGGACTTTCCACCGTTCAAAACTTCATTTGTGGCTCTCTTTTGTTGTACCGTCTCTTTATTGTCGAGTCAAAACTTCGTTTCTAGTTTGAAATTTTGGTTGTAGCTCACTTTCATCCCAACTTTTCATAGACGACTCAAAAGAAATGAATTGCAATGAGATGATATCTTGATTGCAAACAGGTGTTGTTTGCACATTCTGTCGAAGTTGACGCAAGAAGAGTCGTGTAAATCGTGAAAGTAAATCGTGAAAAAATCATATAAGTTTTGATCACTCGTAATGCAGTTCCACTATTACAATTGGCCGATATAATATCACAAACAGTGGCGGAGGCAGTGCATACCAAGGTGGGTCCCGGGACACCTTGGATCGGGAGAAAATATGTACGTCTAGGTTAATAGTGGTAGAAGGTTGTACCGGACAAGTCAACGATCGGATATTTTATGTTGAAAATGTGGTTTAATCATTGTTCAACCATTTCATATCACTAATATCTTCTATCAATTTCACTTCCATCATGAGATTTTTCTTATCGAACCACCAGTACGCTACGATTTTTCACTCCTTAATACAATAATTAAGCGACAATGAGATTTTTCACCTAAAATTCATCAATATTGATCAATATTTCTACCATCAAACAATAATTATATCATGAATTTAGCTATCATCATTATATATAATACATTTTAGTTTCTACATAAATAATATTAGCACAAAATATAACTTCATCCTCCAAGCTTCAAATCCTTAATTTATCCATTATCTATCGCCAAAGCCTCATTTTGTTGAAACTCACTAGATCCTTTTTATCCTAATAATGAATTCAATAAATCAGGTTTTAGACTCAAACTAAGGATACACTACAAGTGTTGAAAGAAAATTTTCAATGAACCACGTGGATATTAAAAAAAAATCAGACCCACCTTACATAAAATCCTGGCTACGCCACTGATCACAAACCATAGATATTGGTTATATATGTACGCCAGCGGACAGAGAAATCAAAGGGGAGCAGATCTATTCAATAACCTTCTAGTCGGGATAAGATCAGGTGACCAAGGGGGGTCCCTTAGGCCTTAGCCACTTGCCTAAGTTGATCTCAGCCATACAAGCTCATTAAAATATAATGGTTCCAATTAATTCAATTTAATGAAGGTAATGTAGTAATTGCATGGTTATTTTATTTTTTTAATTATTAAATAATTTTAAAAACTCTCTGAACGACTCATCCTCACTCCCTCCGTTTCCGGCGACGTTCTCCACCGGCCATAATTTCCCGGCGTCGGCGTTCTACCCCGCCGGCCATCATTTTTGTAGCGCTGGCGTTCTACCTCGCCGACCATCATTCTCCCGGCCAACTATTACTTTGTGCGCCATTTTTCTTTTTTGGCGCCTCCCAGAGTCCATTCCCTGGAGGGAGAGAGAGAGAGAGAGAGAGAGAGAGCTTTTTCGGCGGCGAGATTTTTCCGACGACAGCGGTAGTTTTGTAATGTTTGTCGTTCTATTTTGTAATGTTTGTAAGTCTGGTTTGTATTAGTTGTCATTTTTGTATATTATATTTGTAATATTTATATGACTATTTTGTACGGTGAGTATGCTTTGTACTGTTTGTCGTTTTATTTTGTAATGTTTGTACGCTTTGTTATTTTGTAATGTTTGTCGGTTTCTTTTGTAATGTTTGTAAACTTTGTTATTTTGGTCAACCATGTTTGTAATGTTTTTTTATGTCTAAAAAACAATCTGGTTGACTTTTCGATGAAACTCCTCTATATAGGGATGAAGCCTCCAAAGTCAACCCGGGTGTTTTTCCAGTTTGTATGGCTTGTCGGTCCAGTTTGTCATTTTTGTCAACCATGTTCGTAATGTTTGTATGTCTAAAAAACAACCGGGTTGACTTTGGGACGAAGCCCTCTATATAGGGATGGAGCCTCCAAAGTCAACCCGATTGTTTTTTCTTTTTTGTATGGTTTGTATTGTTTGTCGGTCTAGTTTGTATTGTTTGTACAGTTCATACGTCTGTAATGTTTGTAAATTTGTTTGTATGTTTTTTCGTTGTAGTTTGTACTGTTTATATGTTTATACTAATTGTAATTCCGGTTTGTATACTTCGTAATATTCCATAATACCCAAACTACTCATGTCATTAATTAAATAGCCCTTCCCACTTTTTAACCGTTAGATTGTTGTGTCCATATCTAAGGGCTGGGAGGGGCTTAGCCAAATGACTAAGCACCCCGCTTAGTCATGGGATCCGCACTGGTCAATAACCATTAGCGCCCTTTCTCTCTCCTAAAAAGCATTTAATTCCCCTCCCCCCCAATTAATATTTAACGGACGAATTCTCACTCGTTTTAAGTCGATTTTTTTTGTTTGCACAATTAGATCAGATTAATTGTGCTCTTCAAAAAAAATTGAGTCATTTTTTACCAGTCTTGTATTGAAATAAGAGCATACCTATGGTTTGAAAAGCGTCTCATGGTGGTATGAATAAACCAAGATTGTAGGATGGTTGAATACATGATACTAGTAGTATATTAACTGTGATTTACGACTTTTAACATTGTGTACCACAAGATACCACCACGTACCAGGGTGGTATTGTGTGGTATTTTTTGGTCATGTATTTTGTTCACCCCGAAATTTGTAGATCCAATAGATCATGATGAACTCGTTTCTTCTACGCAAAAATTTCCAAAAACAAATTAAAAACGAAGAAGATACTACATGGTATGATGTTGATACCGATAGGCAAAAAAAAATTCTAAAAAATATTGAAAATGAATCTCATTTTGTAGAGCATAACGAATTTGTTTCATCTTTGCAAAAAAAATTGAAATCTAAGTTAAATCGAAGAAGATAGGAGCCGATTAAGAAAACAAGGGAAAATAAAAATGATCTAAACGAAGGGTCTAGATTTAATTACTGATTGGTGCATATGGTTATGCACTCTAAGAGGGTTTCAACTTGTGGAAGTTGAAAAAAGAAAGAATACCAATCCCAAAATGTCACATATATGCAAGGTTGTCAAATCGGTTTATACCGTTGTGCCGGTTTGGCAAGTGGAATGGTACGACCGGTGGTATAACCAGTTTGTGCCGGTTCATGCCGGTTTAAAAAAATGTGAAAATAATTAATATCCAATGTATTTAATCATATATAAAACATTTTTGTGGACAATTTAGTTACAATCCAACAAATATCATCAACTTTTAACTATTAAATTCATAAAATGAATAATAAATTATTTCTTAAATAATTAAATTCATTAAAATGATGTCATTTTGCTTAGAATGCATAAGTCGATCATACCGGTCATACCGGTGGTGTCATGCCGGTTTCATGACCGGCACAGGTTGAACCAGGTTCAACCGGGTGGCATGCCACCGGCATGACAACCATGCATATATGCAATTACACAAACTTTGCTGTAGGCAGTGAGACCAAATGCCATTCCCATACATTATATTTCACAGACTCGAAACAGCTTGCCGCAGAAAAAAAAAACGAAGAGACTACAAAATAATACACATCCCCAATCACAAGAAAAATAGAACCCTAACCAACCCCTACAAAGAATTTTAACAGAAAATGGCTGAGTGAAAGAAGAAGATAACACAAGAAAAATGGTACAGTTTCCACGGGGAACAATGCAGCACACATTTCACCCCGTGATGAACAATAATATTACAACAATGCAAAATCACCATCGAATTAAGAAAAGAGAAACCCTAAATCACGATTAAGATGATCTATAAAATTTCACATTACCTATTTCAACTTCGGCTGCTGGTTTTCTTCCCTTGGACAGTTCGCCCTATCGCCCAGGGAAAGACCAGCACTTCACAATTTGCCTGGATCACGACGAGGAAAGAAGGGCGAAACTTTCTAACACAGCAGCAATTTGGCAATTAGCAACAAGTTGATGCAATTGCCGAAACCAAGCTGAAGGAAATATTATTCCTGTTTCGGTTTTATCACTCTTCATCCGAAAGGGTTGCCTCCTGCAGAAGGGAATGGCTGCAATGTGGTAGCAGGAGCCGAGAATCCGCCAGCCAGATGTTGGTCCAAATTTAAGGCACCAAACGCCGCACCACCATCATTGCTGCCGAAACCTGCTATTCCTTGATGCCTGTAGAAAGTCAGAGTAGAAGCATTTAGCAGCTGATTACTATAACCTGAACAACAGCATGTATAGTTCGAAGTTCGTGGAGTACATACCCAGACGAGTGACTCGGCACTTGAGATGTAGTTGGCCCTGAGTTGTTTCGTGAAGCAGGATGAGAATGTAAACACAATAAAGCACAAGGGTGTGGAAAAGACTGAATGAGAAAATAATTTACTTGGAGGCGCTGTAGTTGAGTAAGATTGTAACTGGGGATGCAATCCCGATTGATAAGGTGATGACTGGTTTGGCATCCATGCTGGTGGTGCGGAGTTATCAAGACTTGAAGCCCGCTGTATTCCTGAATGTGCCGCCATATTTGGTAAAGCACTTTGCAACGATGACATATTAGGAAACTGCAGACATAAAACCAGTAACGTAAGAGATAAATAGATAAACAGAAGCCTCGGGTAGCTTTCTGTATACAGAAGTAAAGTATTCTCAGCATTCGCGGTCAAGCAGACCAGAAGGAGGATTAGCCAGCAACAGATAATAGCATTCATGGTTGGGTAGTCTTTGCCTGTTCACACAACTCCTAGAAACTGAATTCCTAAAAAAGTGGATACAATTTAAATTCAAATCTTCTAACGATCCAAAATCTTAGTACTCGAACTAATAATTCTATTTCAAGATTCAAGCAAGAACGATCACTTCAAAAATTTAAGTCAGAGAGGACTTCAATACTGATACAATCTCCAGAGCAAGCTGCTTTAGCAATGTCACAACTGATATTTAAAGACAAAAAGTATAAAAACACAGAAAGCTGTGCCTTTAACATGAAAGTGTTCCTCAACTAGCTTAGCTTTTTGGATATGATTTTTAGCATAAACATATTGCCAAATGAAAGACACAGAGCTTCAGATTAATGAAGAGAGAGCACATACAGGTTGGGCCTGAGCTGGTGTTGGCTCATTTGCATCAAATGGATTTAACGATTTTGAGGGTTGCTGGATGAATGTGGGCATAAGCTGTGGTGAAACAAAGATACAGAAAAACCAATAGTGAAAATCCAAAATAAGGCAGCAATAATGAAAGATCTTTTTATTACCGAGAAACCTACCGCAGCAGCACTATTATATTGCATAGGGGATGGCACATTAGCATATTGCATAGGGGATGGCACATTAGCATATTGCATAGGGGATGGCACATTAGCATACTGCATAGGAGCTGGCACATTAGAATACTGCATAGGGTACATCATACCACGGGGTGGACCTGTTTGCCACCCTGGAACCATTGTAGGGAAATAAGGATATGTTGCGGTAAACAGATCCTGCAGTTATTTAAGGGATAAGGTAAGGCACATGTATTTGCTACCAATAAACATACAGTAAGAAGAGCTAAGAAGAAAAGGATAGTTACCTGCGGTAATTCTTTCATTCCAGTAGCTGTTGAAGATTGTGAAGATCCAGGACCTGGAATTGTTCCGCCGCCAGGAGTTGTATTCAGAGCTGCTTGCACATTAGGGGGTAGTGAAGAATTCCATAGCTTGCAAAAAGGACAGGTAAACAGTAAGGTCCAGATGCTAACAAATATGAATAACACAATGAAAGCCGAGAAGGCTGTTACCAAGGCTTACATGATTTCCAGGGGCTGAATATTGTTGAGAGGTGGACTGTGCAGGGGTTAAAGAAGGTTGTTGATGCTGTGTGGTGGCCCATTGCCCAGCTTCTGGAACAGGGGCATTACCACCATTGCCAGTCACAGGCATTGTACCAAAACCATTCGGAATAATTTGGGTAGGACTAGGACCAGGTACAGATGGCGTAGCTGACAACTGAGACAAAACAGAATCCAGTGGACTGGCATTTGCAGGAGCTTCAGAAGCTTTAGGAGCAGGGGCGAAATCAAAAGACGCCCAGTTATTGTCATTGCTGGCAGCTAAAGTTGGTGCAGCAGGTTGAGTTGAAGTTGTCTGTTGTGCTTGGGGAGCAGCCGCAGCAGCAGTGGGTGCGGGATCAGAATCAAAATCGATTAAGCTTGGCGCGGGTTCTACTTTTACTTCCGCAGGGGCCTCAGTTGTAGAGCTGAGGCTGCTTGAAGAGGCAGTTCTCTGTAATTGTTACAGCAAACAGTAGGATTAAGTCCACACCATTATTTCAAGACCAAAGTTGACAACAAGGTAATTAAAGCAAATACACAGGCTATAAGAGTTTTAAAAGACAACTGACAAGAGGACTACCTGTGTCGCCACAAAGCCATCAGCAGCCCTTACTGCATTAGCTTTAGGTGGTTCACTTATACGAAGAGGCACTACACTATCACCCAAAATTTCTCGAACGGGCCGTACAACCGGGGGACTAGTTCCCCCAACATCATTTGGCCGCTCTGGTGACCTGCCACTCAGTTTTGAATCTCCATCAGATACTCTATGGTCCTCACCTTTCCTTCCATTTCCAAATCTATCCTCCCGACGCCAATCGTTGATAATCTCTGGTCGAGCGGGACTTTTCCTGTAATCACTGTAATGTCTACCTTCTTGATCATATCCAGGGCTTCTCCTCTCGTCATAACCATATCTGTAGTTTTTGTCGTCACTTCTTCCACCTGGACTAGACCTTTCATTGGAACGGCGGTCATACACATCCTCATATGGTGGACTCCGGGACCCTACATCCTCTCTGTCAGCCTGTACAGATTTAACTATGACGATTAGCATTTCCATGGTGCGAACACGTACCAAAGAAATCAAGCAGGTAAGATATGGGCATATAATTTCAAGAGCATAATGTCATCTCACCGTCTTCATAATTGGAGGTTTGCCATAGTTCTTATCACCCGTGTACCTTTTATCAACATACACGTGTTTGATAAAGTCCCGAAGTCTATCAACATTACTGCCACCAAAGAAAAAAATGGGAAGGAAATCAGAACAATAATAATAAATAACATGCAAGATAGTTTGATGCAATATGTCAAAACCTGCTGTCAGGTGCAGAGTTACGCTGAGGATCCCAGTCTTTCAGAAGAACTTCTCTTGCACGCTGTCAAGATGATCCAGAAAAGGGATGTTCCAGGATGAAAATTCAGGAATATGCGTCCATCCAATAAGATAAAACTTAACAGATGTGAAATACAAGGCTGGCATACCTTGTTTCCACCTTCCTGAAGTGCACCAACTTCTTGGGGGGTAAATTTAGCCATTGATATTGATTTCACTCTGTGAGTAAACTCCCGACTGATGAGAGCAGAAACAAACACCATAAGTATATAAGAGAATAAAAACCTAAGCAAACCTAAAGCCACTTAGGAGATACTTACTGAATTCCACTACAGGTAGTGCAGACAAATGTCGAGAAATTTGTGCAAACATATTGCGGTCCCTGATCAAGCAAGAAAATGTCTTATAACAGAAAAATGCATGTTACAATCAAATAAAAGCAGAACGGTGAATTTCTCGTTCCAATAACATGGTACTACAACACTCCAAGCATATGCTCTTTTCACCTAATATAATGGTCAAAAGCCTCAATTTTGACAGTTTCAGTCACCTCTTCTGACCTAGGCAAATCCTTCCTCGCCTACGGCTATGTCCCTGAGGGTACAGGGAAACTAATATGTAATCCAGAAGTATCCTCAAATCTCCTTTTTCATTTTATTTTTGGTCACTGTGCAAGGGAAAAAAATAAGAACCCCTTCCCAGAAAAAAAAAGATGTTATTCCTTTCCACATATCTAAGGAACTCCCTGGGGGACTAACTAACATGCACTCTAGGAATATCTAGTATCTCTCACTAAGTTAGCAGCATTATCAAGCCTAGACCTATGATATTGACATAAGAAACTACTAACGAGTCCCAATTTCATCGTATCAATGTACGATAAAGCACCACTACACTCCATCAGCATTGCTTCCCTCTCAAATTTTATTTCTTGCTTAGCAAATTTCCACCATAGTTGGACGAACACTTGAAATACAAAATCAATTAACTGACTCCTGCAACCGTTAAGTTTCATAGGAGTAGAGCCAAACCACCACATTAGCATTGCCAGAATTTCTTGGCAGAAAGCACTCGAATCACACATTACCAGACTGTTGCAGTTGATGCATCTCCGATTCTCCTGAAGTTTGAGAAGTCCCCTGATAATTCTCTCATTCTTCTCGTCCTCTTTAACTCGACTCGCCATCTCCCCACCGCCTGTGAACATTTAAACCAGAGTCAGGATTCGAAGCAAGCAGAAGGAAGCCATGAAAACCACAGTGAAATCTGAATTCCCCAGCGAGCTCAATTAACTCTTCTGCTTCCTCGGCCGTAACTCCTCGGCAAACCAACGGACATTACGAGGAGGCCGAAATTCAACCGTCTAAAGCGACGGATCTTAAGGATCAAATCCGGCGACAAATGGAACTGAAGCAAAGTAAAAACAGCGCTCTCTCTCTATATATATATATACTAACCGACTAAGAAATTGAACTCGAAACTACCAGAAACCGACCGCTTACCTAACTGACTACTGCCGACGAGGAGAGTTTCTTCTCCGGTCAAGACTTGTGCGGATGGCTGACTTCAACTCGAAGATCGACGAGTCCACGATTCCTTCTTCACCCCCTTGAAACACCTCAGCCGCTCTGCAATTCAATTATCAACAGCGAAAGCAGAGGGAGGAGAAAGGGAAAGGGGGAAGAGAGATGGAGAAAAGAGAGATTTGTCTGCTGAAATTACAGACGAAGAAGAGAAGGGCTTTGTACAGCTAAGAGCGAACAACCAAAGTCTGCTTTCTCTTCAACGGAAAAGATGAAGGAAAAGAAAAGAAAAGGAAGCGAGCGGAAAAAGACAGGAAGGAAATTGAGGGATATTAGGAATAATAGAATTTATTAGTACAAATCAGTCTTCATTTTATTATCTGTTACAATTCGGTCCTCAAGGGAAGAACACAAAAAGTAGTTCATAACCTTGATGGACAATAAAAAATGTACTTAATGGCGGAGCTAAAAATTTAACTAAGGGGTTTTTTAGGGATGGCAACGAGGCGGATCGAGTTCGGGTATCCTGTATCCGTCCCCTGCCCATTATGAACTTTGGGTTTCCCCGTTCCCGGCCCAAACGGTGATACGGGTCTGGTAGTGGTACCAACCTCATTATCGCCGGGTTTTCGGGTGCCCGCACGAATATACCCGCTACAATACAATAAAAACATTAATATATGAAAAAAACATGAAAATAATACTTTATTCAAAATAAATGATAGTTTGAAACTCTGAATTCTGAAACTACCAGCAACAAGATCTCACAAACTCAACAAAGTTGCAATCAACAGCAACTTTAAATCATCCGAACTTGAAATAAATAAAAAACATCAACTCTCAGCACCATGACTGCCAAGTCTTATTCAAAAGCAAGAACAACTAGTTGACTAAGGAAAAACAAACTCCAAGCCATCCTAACCGTTGAGAGCAAATGTAACATCAGCCTTCCTTCGAGCAAGATGCAGCTTTAAGGATCCCTAACTTTTGCCGAGTCTTATTCCAAAGCAAGTAGCAGCAGTCAACATTCATCAAATGCAAGTCTGCACAAACATTCAAGTAAACATTCTTAAGTTCCTAAGCCTAACAATTAGCAACCTCGAGGTTCTTGAGACAAGAGAAGATGATTTGAAGTTATACCTGGCTCGACAGATGCAAATGGATCAGTCTTCCTGGCCAATGGTGATTTCAAGAACACCATTTCAGGACCTGAAAAACAGGTTGTAAATCATTATGTCGAGCCTCAAATCTCAATGAACAGAGTTAGAAATTTTAGAAAATGAGAAGTGTTTTTCTTACCCCCAGGTTCTGCCTCCTCCACAGTCGTATCGTCGACTGACAGGGTTGAGAAGACTCCCTCCAATGCCTCCACAGCAGCAGCATCCTCCGAATCTACAGGTAAAAATGAAAAATTATTATTTACACTTCAACAAAATTACTTGTACCAGAATTTGGAGGTTTATTTGCATGTTACCACTTTGCATGTCCTCCATTATCCAGCTTCGTGTGCACATAATTGATTCAACAGTTGAGTAATGAAGCCTGCTCCGGTGAGGGTCTAACAACCTCCCACCAGAACTGAATGCACTTTCAGAAGCAACAGATGTAATTGGGATTGCCAAAAAGTCTCTTGCAATTGCTTGCAAGGTTGGATACTTGAGACCATTCAGTTTCCACCACAAGAGCAGATTAAAGTCTGTTGTCCGAGGAATTATATCCTCAACAAGATACATATCCAACTCAGTAGTAACCAAAGAACTCTTGCTCTTTTTCCTTTGACTTACAAAGAGCTCAAAGTCATGTTCAGTAGCCGAGACAGAACCAGAACTAGCAGAAGAAGTTCCAGTTTCAGACCCAGACTTCTTCTCGGCTTTGGTTTGATAATCAAGAATCAAACCACAAATAATCTTCTTAATATTCTCAGCAACCAAATCAGTTTTCGTATTTCCCAAACTATGCAGCTGACACGTTAAAACACAACACCTAACACTGGCCAAGTGTAACCAATGAAAGGGACTGCAGTAACAGGCAAGTTTAATTATCAACCTGGGGTCTAGATCTACTGCTTACTCTGTGATTCTCTATTATCTAGCAAACTAAGTCGAGTGATTGTTGTGAAAAGTAAAAGCAACAAGAAAGCACTAAATTGTTCGGGTTTCTAAAGCAGGCAAGAGTCACTCGGGATTGAGTCCCCCTAGCCCCTTAGTTAGGTTCAATTGCAATTCCCTGGGTTGATTTACTGTTGATTAAACTGCGGAAGATCCGACAGTAGCTTGGAATCTCTTAAGCTGACCAAGCCCTCTCAGTCTAACTACCCGGCAGACGACTAGTCTTCACCGGGATAGAAAGCTGAGGCTATGAACACAGAACTCCACTACTGGCGCCAAGAACACCAGTACAAAGCAGTCAACTGGCTAACTCTCGTATAGCCAATCTCCTACTATCGAATGAAGAGGCTCTAACAACCTAATCAGATTCTATCTATCTCAGGTTGCAGCAGAAATTGAGACAAGCTGATCAGACTCAAATCAATTCATTAAACATGCGTCATTCGATTAAAATCAAACAGTAATATCATCCCAAGTCATTACAATCAAATCCCTAACACAAGGAACTAGGGTTCTTCATACCCAAGTGAGAGAAGGGTTCTACTCCATAGAGAGAGAAGAGAAAACAAGAATCGGATTAGTCATACTCATAACGATGAGGATAATCTGCTCCGGGACGATGATTTCCACTCCTATGACGATCTCCAGGCTCGATTCGATGAAATCCAGCTCCAAGACAGCTTCCAGGATGTGTTCTTCGCACTTTCTCTCTCTAGGGCTCTGTTTTTGCTCTCCAAACACGATTCCCCCACTTCTGGCTCGGAATAGGCTCTAAAACCAGGCTATCCCGAGTTGCACGGCCAGGGTGCACGGCCGTGCACATCACCAGTCTGGCCGTGCACTCCAAAACGCAGCGTTTCATTTAGTCGGCCTTCAACCATCTTGCACGGCCAGGTGCACGACCGTGCAGATCTTCAGGGGTGCCCGTGCACGTCCTCGGCATAAGGCGCACGACCTACTTGCAACCGTGCACGGCCGTGCAGCCTCCCTGGTCTGCCCGTGCAGCTCCCAAAAACGCTCGCCATTCGTCCGTTCTTCGTCCAATCGACCCCAGACTCGCTCCTAAGCCTTCATTCACGTACTAGGACCTGAAATATCACAAACAAGCACAACCTAGCGTGAAATCGGCCTAAAACACGAGAATCAACACCTCAAACGGTGTAAGAACGGGAGTAAAAACATGTGTAAATGATGGTCTATCAAACTCCCCCACACTTAACCGTTTGCTTGTCCCCAAGCAAACCAAATCAGACATTAGGCAAGCTTACATATTTCAATCAACCAACATTGGGGACAAGTCATAAAGGCACAGAACACGTGAATCGCACTGGTTTTCAAACATATAATACATGCACAACCTCAATAACAACCTGGACAACCACCACAAAGGACATTCGAGTGCAGCAAATCGAGTAAAGGAAGAGTCTCCCTTCTGTTCACTGGCCAACCTAGACTTGATTCAACCACTTACTCAAAACAGTCAACTCATGCATCCAACTCAAGACATCAGAATAGAGACCGAGCAATCTAGGTCCTCACCGGGGTACAAGAGCATATAGAAAATGAAAATGAATCACTCACTCTCGACCAGTGGGGTCAGGACAATTTGATGCGAAAGATGCGCATGCTATTTCTCTCAATCCCTATCATCTCTTCACCATGATGGCAGCCTCTAAATGCTAGAGTTCACATATGGGGTGTCACCACTAACTAATCAGGAGGTCTTAGACACAGGTTCAAATGACTGGCTAGGGTCTTGGACATGGGGAACAGGCCTTTTAGGTGGTGGAAGTATTCATAGCAAAGGTTCCACATTTTCCAAACACACAAACACAGCCAAACAACCCGGTATTTTCTTTCTGCTATTCTGCCTTCTCAATATCTTACGATCACAAGAGCGAAGGAGGCATAAACATCAGCATTTCCAAGCCAGACTGCTAAGAAACACTACTTACTGGGCATTATTCAGATTTTTAGTAGTGGCTCTCTTTTGCTTTCAATTTTTTTCTTTGTTTCACTTTCATTTTTCTTTTCGTTTCTTAAGAAAGCCACCACTTCTGCATAAATTTCAAACACCTGCCCAACTTTTAAGCACTACCTCCAACACTCACATAGACTTTAGCAGAAACAGCAGAGAGTATGTAAAAACCACTCTGTGGAACCTTCTAAAAGATGCAACAAGGGTGATTTTTTTCCATTATAGACCAAAAGAAAGGATAACACACGGCTCAAAGGGGCTGACTAGGGGATATGACAGATCAGGACAGTCAGTTTTGGGCGTGGGCTAATCCTATGCCCCCATCATCTTAGCTAGTGACAACGTGAATGCTACACATCATGGAAGAGGGATCTATCGCACAAGAAAGAAACGAGCAGGCTCAAATCTCACATGGCTACCTATATGCTCTATCTCACATTCTGATACCCTGAACTAGATGCATAAACGACTGTTAAGAACAAGTAATCAGATCAAGTAATCAGATCAAGTCAGATCAAATCACAGTTGGCAAGCAAACAGTTGAAAAATTGAACCCCTACATCGTTCTACTGCACATCTCAGTCCTCATCATAGGTTGTCCTAGTCGCAAACAAGTTGTCATGCATTAATCCGAAAACCAATCAATTCATCCATCAAAACACAGTGCCAATATGATCAAACAGCAGTACTTGGAGCCCTCAAATCGTAAGATTCGGACAGCGGACTAGGCTCCAAGCACCATCATAAATATTCCAACTGATACAAAGCATCCCCCCACACTTAAGCACGACATTGCCCTCAATGGAGTAGAGGGAAAGATAAGGGGAACGATGTTACCGGGTAAGAACACTGCTGGGGGACTGGAAGTGGACCAGTCAGCGAGAAACGAACGGGGAAGTGGACAATGCTGCACAAATCGAACACCAGAAACACACTAGCACACTGGCGTTAGGGATAAGTGGTAGCCCAGACGGCTACATCAAACCACAAATGAAAAACCAAAAACAAAAACAAACGACACCAAGTTCAAGCTCCGCACACATGGAGCAAACACACAAAAGTCTAAAAAGAAAAAACAGACACACTGAGACGGGCAACGAGTACAACCTACTCGTCGCCAAGATCGTCGAAGTCGATGTCGTGCATGAACGCATCATCACC